AACTATCTAAAACTTTTATCAACAAAAAACCGATCTTAGAATTAAACCGAATTATACCAAGCCACGGCTTGGGTTTAAGAATAGGCCACATCACAATGGAGCGGACGCATATAAACGTCTTATGGAAAAGCTATTTTGTTCCACGACGAAGTGAATTAGAGCCTGTTTTGTACTTAATATATACAAGCGATCTGCCTACAAGCCAAAACCTCGTCACATCAGCTTCTGCGGATATAGCAGCAATCCCGTTTACAGCAACATAAAAAAATGCATACATATATCCTTCAACATCTACGGTTGATAATAATTCTATGGTACAGAAGGTATTTGGTACTAAGTTTGGGTTAGCACTAGATATAAGCCTCATCTAGAAAAATACCATAGATAAAAATTTTACCAAAACTAAATTAAAAAGTGCGAATTTGAATTACATTATTGCTTTTAAGTTCAAGTAAAATTTCGAAAAGATACTATTACTTCTGAATTTATTTAGAAAACCAGCTTTGGGGTACGGGATCTAACTTTGGGGTTCAGCATGTAAATCTACCTTAGACTGAATTCAAAGGCTGCAGTCTAAAATGCGTTCCAAACTAAGTGACGTTAAGCAGGCAACGCCCCGTTAATAACCTTTTTTTTCATGAAACTACCCTGAGAAGAATTGGCAAAATCATAGCTACAGTCTGTTCTGAATTGTTTTTTCGGCTTTCCCATTGCCTTCTATTGCAAAATGCCGTCATACCCAATTAAGATGGCCTTTTCTTTTCTTCGTCAGCTTTTTAATGCTTCTTCACAAAATGCAACCCCTACCTTCTTCTTGCTATAAGAAAGTAATGCCTTGATGTCTGCTTAGCTACCTACCTAAATGTGAATTCTCTTTTGGTAAGTCATCGTCCTTTAGTAGCCCGACGGCAATTTTAATGGCATATATTTCGGCTTGCTTGAAACCACAGTGGCTTGACAACTTGACTGATTGTAGGAGCTCCACTTGCAGGAAGTGAACTGCCGGCTCAAACTCTGTTATTCATTTTCAAGCTGTCTATGAAGAAAATTAGGCGCGAGATAGTTTATTCGTACTCTTAAAGTCAACGCTATACTTATAACTCGATTCTTAGAGGATTTGAAGCATCTTGCCACGTGGCAGTTATGAATGTCCCAACCTTTGCCACTTTATGCACCGTTCGAATATTCTAAATCATTTGAAGCGCTGCTGAGCATCCAGAGTCCCAACACTCTATTCAGACTTGACAGAAATGTTGAATTTCCCGCGAGCCTTCATCATACTAGAGCATCGTAGAAAAGGCTTAACAATTCTTAAAGATGTTCATTAAAATTTATTCTATGTCACCTTTTATGATATACTCGTATCTTTTGTGAAATTGCTAAATTTGCGTGCTTGGTTTTCCTTATGATATGATTGATTAAAAACATTATGTGGCAACTCTTATTCTACTTATATCGCAACCTCGAAGAATAGCAGCATCTGCAGGATTATTAAGTAGTTTTATTTAAACATTTTTTTAAAATACTTCAAGTATTCTTCTTGGGCAAAAAATCTTTTCTGTTTCTGACACAAATTGAAAAATGTTGATTTTTTATATTCCAAATTTCTAAATGGTCGCCAAATTTCTCACAAATTCTTTCTGGGATGCTTATATAATTATTTATTGTATTTAAAGAATTAAGGTAATTGATATCAGTTCAAATATACCGTTAGAAGCCAGTAAGCAATCAAGATTTTCTAATAACAAGTGGAAGTGTTTGTCAGTTCAAGTAGAAAATTTTGCTTTAAGGTATTTAATTATTACATTAGTTAACATACTGTTTATTAGTATACTATTTGCATTTAGAAAAAAAAAAAAAAGTTTTTCAGCAATGGGAAAAATAAATACAAACGGTTTGAAGAAAACCCTTTTTCGAAACGCGGCCACCTTTCGGCAGAAAATATCAACCTATTCGACTGCACTTCTGATATAAAGAAATATAAAATATTATAAATCACTCCATTAGCAGCTCCTTTTCGTGCTGCTTTCGGGCTGCATTAAAAACGACAAGAAAATGGTGTGAGCCGAACCATTTTATTCTGGTCTTTTTAAAAGGTGGAAGTCAGAAGGGGCGACATCTGGGAATACGGTGGGTGGGGCACGACTTCCCATTTCAGCGTTTCCAGGTACTTTTTGACCACTTTTGCGACGTGAGGCCGAGCATTGTCGTGTTGGAGGATGACTTTGTCATGTCGCTCTTGATATTGATCTAAGGCGCATCAGTTGCGTTCGGTAGCGATCTCTTGTGATTGTTTCACCCAGTTTTTAGGAGCTCGTAGTAAATCACACCGAGGTGATCCCACCAAACACAAATCATAACCTTGGCGCCGTGAATATTTGTTGAAACCACTCCCGACACGTTCTTTCACTCAGAGCAGCATCACCGTAAGTTTCTGAGAGCATTCGATGCGTTTCAGCTGCATTTTTTTCGAATTGCAACAGAAAAGTAAAGCTTCCGCAAATGGCGGGAATTTGGCACATAAACGGACATTTTCGAGCGTAAATAACATGAAAACAAGAACAACTGTCACTGAAACGGCGATGACAATTCGTTAGGCACTGCCCACACTCATTTTAAAGGAATTATCATCTATGTATTTCAACCAGCCTCAGCCGGTACAGCCACCTATCGGAAAACGACGGAAGCCAAGTTGTACACCTGATACATATATACAAATATCATATAAATGACGTTAAGAATGAACTTTAAATAACCAAAATTCAATTTTTTTTCAATATAAGAATTCATGCAATTTGGTGAATAGTGTTGGAATATTTAGCATTTGGTAGTTGGTAGTTGGCATTGATCAACAGCATGCTTGATATAAAGTTAGTTACAATATTGGAACTAAATATTTAAACGAGGTTTGCTCTAAATATAACGAATTTTTTTAAATTTCAGTTACTTAAAGAGTCCGATGTCAAATTTTTTTAAACTTATTTGGTATTCATACCCCTGAATTGTGAGAAAAATTCAGTTTCTCTATTGTTGCATGTGTCTGTGGCAGCCACTAAATTTAGACGAATTTTTATGGCTTCAACGATTTTCGTCTGACAGAATTTTTATCCAATTTTGCGTAAAAAATGGAATAAAGTATAATAATGTGTTTGAAATCTCAACAAGGGCCTATACTCACCATTGGCTATGAGTAAAGCAGGAATTCACCAGTAGTGCGAACGTGTACAAGAAGGCCGTGAAGACGTTGAACATATCACAACCAAACAAAATATGGAGAGCAAAAGAAATAATATGAGCTATCGTCAAATTATGCAAAGAAAAGCACATAATCATTTTAGCATATCGAATAGATTATGTCAAGCAATTTTTGGAAACCCAGGTGAGCTAAATTTTTAGGAACAAAATCAGATTTTGAACAAAAACAGCGTTGAATGAACGTGGATCAAAGATCCATAAACTAAAAACTAAAAATTTTTTGAGGATCCAAGAAAAAATATGATCTAAGTCAGCTTAAGAAAATTAAATAACCGAAAAATGGTTGCAATGTGGAAAGCCAAAAAAATTTCCGAATTCGTGACCAAATAGTGTACGGTTTTTGTATCACGATAATGCACCAGCACTTCTTTGCTTTTTTGTGCAATTTTCAATAAAGGAGAATCCACTAACGACGCCGCAGCCTACAAATACCCCAGAGAACCTTAAACAAACGTCGATTTACAGATGATATTAAGGGACACACCTAGTGTGAAATTTCAGAAACATCGATTTTTTCATTTTTCGGTAGATTACACCTTTAAAAATAACATATTAAAATTTCAAATCGATAACTCAAATAGCTTTTGAGTTATAGCAATTTAACTGCCGAGCTACGAGTGAAAACGATCATTTTATCTTTAAACGCGGTTTTCTCGAAACGGCATTTTCCGAATTTGCTGCAGTGATTATTCAAAAACAAATGATCCGATCACTTTTGAAATTTTTTTTCATGCTCTCTCTCTCTCTCTCTATATATATATATATATATATATATATATATATAGTTCTCCGTACAATGATCTATCGATTTTTGATCTAATCAAAAAATCGAATTTTGGCAGGCCAAAAACGACCAAAATTTTGGGTAAAATTCGACTATTTTTTTAAAACGCCGCCATATTGTCATTTTTTGATTTTTTTACTAGTAGTAGTAGTACAGACAATATATCTAGTTTAAAGAGAATTTATTTTTTAGATTTCATCCACGGAGAAGGCCGGTATCACTGCAGTAGTGCACGACCTTTTTTTATCGCGCCGTTGACGATCGACTATAACTTAAAAAAATATTCAATTTTTTTCTTCAAAAATTTCGTTGTATATTCTTGAAACATTTATAAATATATTCTTATAATTTTGAAATAATTGATAAAGTATTTTTTTAATAATAATTCCCAAAAATCACCTTTTCTTTAGGCCATTACATTAGGTGTGCCCCTTAAAAGCTGCATGTACTAAAAATTATCGCAGAGATGCAGTAGCGCTTGCAAAAGTGCATGATCTCAAATGGGGACTATTTTGAAAAATTTGTAGGCAAATTTCTCGTTTCTTTACTGCACGCACCTCGTACAGTAGCAACTCAATAACAACAACAACACAGACTGTTTTTTATATGCCAAGAAATGTGGAATATTTATGTGCTGTCATTTAAGAGTAAAGTCAAAATGTAAACTTTACATCGATTCAATGTGATGTAACAATTTCAATAGGTTAATGAAGAGGCGATACTAAAACATATGTCAAATATGATGAGTAACTAAATTATATATTTTTAAACATATTATGAATATTTTTTTTTTACTGTTACTATGTAGTTTTTTTATCCACTTTGCAGCTCATTAACGAATCTAAATTTATTTACATCGCAATTATTTCATTTGCTAAAAAGTAGTGGTGTATGCGTGTGTGTATGTGTGTGTGTGCGACAATTATATTTAAACGCTTGACAATTTTTAATGTTGGACTCAATGAACTGGAAGCTAAATAGTTAACATACATATACATATACATAACATACATACATATATACAAATTAAAGCAAAGATCTACATATTGTTATGGAATTTGTTAAGTATAAAAATGCAAAACTTTCAACAATTCACGCGCAATATTATAAAGTAACGAGAGCAGGTGTTACTTAATAGAAGGCAATTGGCGCGAAAAGTATCACACTTGGTGGAGTTCTTATTATTTTTTTTGTTGGTTTTAAAATTAAAAATTTCCTACGTTTCGCTTGAATAATGCAGAACTTTTATGAAAATAAAAGCGTGTTCATTACCGGCGGTAGTGGTTTTCTTGGAAGAGGTAAAATTTTAATCGCTGTGTGAAATCTTACTTCTCTTTCGTAAACTGATTTTTCAAGTGAATGTGAAGTGGTTTCGAAAATACGAAAATAAAACATAAAACAGTGTTTTGTACAAAATAGTCATTGATTTTGCTGTAATGAAGCAAGTGTGCTAACGTCTTAAAATAAAAAAGTAGTAAAGAAATCAAGCTAGAAAAGCATCATTGATGTACATGATTCCGAGTTCAGTACAGAAGAGTGAATTGCTTCGAACTCATCACAGACATTTAATACGGACTTTAGTGTGAAAATTAAAAACATCTCTGCCAACATCGTGAGCTCTGTAAACTCCTTCAAAAATGTTTTAAAGTAGTAAAACAGGTGTGCCCAGTGCCGTTTTTTTTTTATTGAGCTTTAATATCCATGACGACCGTCACAGCCGAATGGTTAGCAGTGTGTATTAGCATGCGCATGATTTCGCGTCTTGGCCCGACCAACATCTAAAATTGCACATAAATTATTTTAAATAAAAAAAATCGAGCTAATATTTCTTATAGCGGTCGACCCTCGGGAAGATATGTCAACCCTCGGAAGATATTTCCGAAATAGGATTAAAGTTCCTCAAAATATCCATCTATAAACCGTAAATATCTTCATTTACTGAAACACCATAAATTGCAGCAGGAGTTCGGCAGAAAATACATAAACCCTAAACAACTGGGGCCTTTCAACAGGATTAAGGTTAATACTGTTAAAAAAGATTTAGTCCTATTTACAAGGAAATACAAAATTCCAGTTTGGATCAAGCCAAAGCTGGAAGAAGACACTTTACTGTTGAAACCTAGCACTAAGGATATGAGAATTGTGTTGAACACCAAGCTGTTGTGGAGGAACGAGTGAAAAAGGCATCAACATCCCTATATAACTGCCAAGGTATGTTGAGCTGCACTTGGGTCTCTCCATAGCTACCTCCCACTGAATCATCATTGATGTTGTTGAACCAATACTTTTCTACGGAGCTTTAGGATGGTGGAAATCTCTGGACAAAATCACCTATCAGAATGGGCTGGAGAGCATTCAGACTTTCAATGATCAGCATAAGTGGAGCACTCAGGACAACACCATTCGCAGCGCTATAAGCGATTTTAAGCATTCCTCCAGCAAACCGGGTAGCTACAAACAGAGCATTCTTATCTGCTGCCAGGCTAAATGCCTCCCGGCAGCTGAAAGTCAGGGCATATGGGCATAATAGTATAGCGTGACCCCTAAGTGTACAAATAGACTACGAATTCACGCATCTGAATTTCAGGAAGCTATTTTCAGCTACAATAGGAATAAAGGTCAGAAATGTGCACACATAGCTGAATTGAAAATGAGAAAGTCGTATAAACAGCCAAGGCATTTCAGTATCTTCGAAGATGCGAAGTGCTAGTCTTATGTAAAGAAGCGATGTAAAGAAGCGATTCAAGTACTGACTGAAAACAAAAGAGCGTAGATTTACTGGGTGAAATGCTACATGGGCATCGAAGGTTATTGAGATAGCTCACGAGCTTGCTAAAAAGCGTGTCCATTTAGAACAGGGCGCAACATCCAACCTTCCAGTTCCATTCAAGAAAGTGAAGAAGAGGCAAGAAGTAATACCACTTCGTAAGGCGAATAGACTCTGGCAATGAGATAAGAGCTGCATAATTGTGAAGACTATGTGTAAAACATACAATACCAAACTCACTAAGTTTGTACCTGGTACCTGGTTGTATCTGTTAAGAGACCGAACTTCAGGCTGCTGATAGAACTATTAACCGGATATTGCCTTATGGCGCCATATGCCATTAAGATAGGTCTGACTGCGCACAACAAGGGCCCAGAACGACTACTTAAATTCGCAAAGAGAACAGCAATGTACTTCGCGCTAGAGCAACAATAGGGGTGTAGCAGTACAGCTTGGACACATTTAGTGTGCCTGGCAACTCTATGCATTTATTACGTCTATGTGAGACCCACTGTTCAAGCCAACTTAGCTTAACCAACCTCGACAGAAAATCGCCGTGCTCTTTTTTATGAAGCTATTCTTTTTTCTTTCAAAATTACATTCAAAATATAAGCTTAAATAATCGTGGTGGCCGCCGTAGTTGAGTAGTTGACATTCATTCTTACCATTCATCCACATCAAAAAGTCAGAAATTTAAAGAATGTCTACCCCTCCGAGTGTATTTCTACTCATAAAAAATCATTAGCCGTTCGGTGACGGCTTAGCATAAACTGTAGATCCATCCATATCACAAATTGGAGGAGGAGCTCGGCATAAGATTGCTTTAGCGGTTACAACGCGCCAATAGAAAAAAACCTGGATACCTTCGTTAGCACAAGCAAACATTGGGACTCAAAAAGTCGATTTCAAATTCGATTATAACAGGTAACCATATCTCGAGCATCTATCAGTTTGAGTCCAACCACCAATCTTATGGTAAAAAATATAGTTGTGCTTCTGACCGAGCCTTCGAGGAAATCAAAGTTTTATTCCTTCACTGTGCCGCGAGTAATTTTAGCATGCCCGACGTCATCATCTAATCTAAAACTTCAACGAAATTTTTGAGATAATTCGAAATATTATAAAAAATATACGGAATCTGATTTTGAAAAGCACACTTAAAGGGATTATCAAAAAATTCTTGCTATAATTAAGCTGTCCTCTCTCTTTACTGGCGTTGAGTTTGAGCGTGATCTGTCATTTATTTTGTTTAAATCTCGCGAAATCTTCAAACCACATACATATACATATTTCTTCTTCTCTTATATGTACATATATCCACATATATATATTTTCTGATTTTCCTTTTTCACTTGCAGTAATCATAGAGCAAATACTCCGTAAGGCAGATGTGAAATGTATTTACATGCTAATCCGTTCTAAACGTGGCATTTCCAGCACTGATCGGATAAAGAAGATTTTCTCAGGGCCGGTAAAAAGAAACTCTTGGCAATAGAATATTTAAAAAATGTATAAAATGGATTTTCAATTGTATTCTATAATCTACAGCTTTTTGAAAAAGTGAGACAACTCAAGCCGCATGCCCACACACTGATTGCACCGATTCATGGCGATTGCACTCAACCGAATCTGGGCATTTCCACTGAGGATCGCAACACGCTCACCGCAAACGTGGACGTGATCATACACTGTGCAGCCACAATACGTTTTAATGAGCCCCTCTACAATGCCTTGGTGGTGAATGTAGGCGCGATTAAACACCTCTTGGAGATTGCAAAGCTTATGTCACACTTAATGGTGAGTGAAGAATACCAACTTCCTGCATGGCCTTTTTAACTTGCTACTTTTATTTTATAGACCTTCGTGCATGTTTCAACCGCGTTCTCAAATTGTAACTTGCCGCATATTGAGGAGAAATTCTATCCGGAAAATGTTGGCATCTCTGCACATAAAACACTCGCATTGGCCGAACAATTGGGACCGGAACTAACCAATAATTTGTCAGCACATTTGCTACGCGACTTCCCCAATACGTACACATTCACCAAGGCACTCGCTGAGGAATTGATTTTAAATGAAGCCGCCGCACTGCCAATTTGCGTATTTCGACCAGCCATCAGTAACTATGAGCAGGCGTCAACGTTAAATGTGTTTTAATTCTAACTTCCTATTATTTACAGTTACATCCACATATGCGGAACCCATACCCGGTTGGGTTGATAACTACGCTGGTGCTATGGGAAGCTTAATGGCCGTTGCCCAGGGTATGCTACGAGTCTTGTATTTACAAAGTAATAACCCGGCGTTGTTGGTGCCCGTGGACTTTTGTGCAAATGCCATATTGGCTTGTGGCTACACCACAGCGCAGCAGGAAAGCACAGAAAAGGAGAAAAGGTGAGAATGATGAGAGTGGTGGAGACTTTTAAAGGCATTTACCACATGAATATTTCATTTTGAAAGAAAATGCCTTTTGGCTTGAACCACTCAATATGGGGTCTTGTAAACATTGAGCCCCTGGTGGATTCAAAGAAACCCATTCGGGAACTGTGTTTCTCAGATTCAGTAGGTGCGAGTGACTATTGATTTGAAAACACTTTTGCATGGTTCGAGTTCTGATGCAAGATTATAGAAATTAAAGTTTCTTATGTTTATATATATATATTAGACTCGTAGGCAATATATCTATCCCCCGACCACTAGCAACTATTGTCCATTTACTTCAATACCCATTTATAATTATCAGGATGTATTGTAATGTAATTGCCGACCGCGGTAGCCGAGTGGCTGGCTTTACTTATTACCATGCGGATAGTTTCGCGTTCTGGTCCGACCAGCATCTACAATTGCATTATTTTAAATAAAAAATGGGTAAATTTTTCTAATTGCGGTCGCCCCTCGCCAGAGAATGTCAGCCCTTCACTCTCCGAAATGAAATTAAAGCTCCTTAAAAAGAATCTATCAGACATTCAGAGGCAGTTTAGTATAAACTGTAGGTCCTTTTATTTGTTGGGAAAAAATCAAGACGCAGAGCTACAATGAACCTTGGCTGAAAATCGCTTCTGTAATAATTCCTTTGGAAATCAAGCTCTAATCAGCTGATCCAAACGATCAGTACTACTTTTCTTCACGGCTTAATCTCAAAATAGCTTAGAGAGCAAGAGCTGTCAAAAATCTGTTTGATATAGCCCAAGCAGTTTCAATGAGTAGGAATGGTCTTGTGCTTGGGTATGCCTGGGTGCAATCGCAAGTTTTGCACGTTAGTCTGGTGCTTAATCTCACCGGAGGAGCGACAAGAAGGTGGAAGATCAAGTGATTTTCAGTTAGACAATGCATAACAGAAACAGTGATCTGATTGTATTTGTTAGAATGAGTTTTAAATACAAAATCTTTGAATGTAGTGCCTTGATATATATGTTCATAACTAACAAAGCTCTTAATACTGTACTTCTCCTTTTGTTCCAGTGAACCAAAAATTTATAACTTTGTACCAGATGAGAAGAACATCATTACTTGGGGCGCACTTGCTGATTCTGCAGTTCACTATGCAAGAAAATATCCCATTTCCAACACCTTTTGGTATCCGTTTGCTGTGAAAATCAACTCGCTGGAACTTGAATACATTTTCTCCCTTTTCCTACACACTATACCTGCTTACCTTAACGACATGTTGCTGGCACTTCGTGGTGAAAAAAAAATGTAATTTTTATTTTCTATTTTATTCTAATATACTCGTACATATATTATTTATTAAAAACATATGAACATATTTTCCAGCATGGTACGCATGTATCAAAAACTACAACAAAATGGTGAGGTATTAAACTTTTTCAAAATGAACAAATGGACACACAATACAACAAATACGAAAGCTCTATGGAAATCTCTTACGCCGGAAGATCAGTTGAACTTCAATTTTAATATGCCCGACATTGTGTGGAAAGAATATTACAAAACATTGGCATTGGGCATACGCCGATATTTGGCTATGGAAAATGATGATACAATGCCGAAAGCTATCAAACGTACCAAAATGTAGGTACTCAATATGTGAAAATACGGAACACAGCTGTTTATGAAAACTGTTAATGAAAAACTGAAAGATTTACTTCAATATTCCAACTTCTATCTCTTTTAAGATTCCAATGGGCTCATCAATCGATACTGGTCTTCATTATAACAGGTCTTTCGTTGTTCTTGTTCATGGTGACCGCTTACTGCTTAGAAAATAGATACTTTAAGCCGTATAATTTAATATCCTTGAAAGTGTAAAAAAAGAAGAACTACTAAACTCTAGACAGTCAAGAGACATGTAAATTCCACAACTCATAATAATAAATTTTATATATCCCAACAAAAGCTCGGAAATTTTTTTTTAAATTTATTCATTTAAACCTCCGTGGTTCTGGTAAGTAAATAACGTATTTTTCAAAAGCAAAAAAAAAATGGTAAAGAATTTCGACTCATCAAGGCATCAGCTACATCGTCAGAATATTTTCGTTCGGTACTTTTACGCTACAAGATTTCATTGAAAACTGTTATTCTCTGTAAAACGCATGAGTTGAGAAACCGAGCGCTTCTATATTAATAATGATATTTTGCTGACGTAAAAAGGTGTTCATTAATATAAAGAAGCAGAAACAGATGTAAGACTAAAGGCTGACATAACTTCCAGGCACGATGTACGGAAACGTCAGATTTTGTTACCAAAGTTGTTTTCTTTGAGCGTCTGGAATGCGTCTACAACCGCTGCAATCGCCACGATGTTAAAATTGTGATTCTCAACCAAATTGATCATATTGTGTTTGACGGAAGCCTTGTCTACAGTAAACATGATGTAAGTGCGTTCCGGAGAACTAATATCTACACGGAAGCGTGTGGTATTGGCGCAGTAAAGATACTCCCTCGCCGCTGTGTATAAAATAACTTGCACGCCTGCTATCTAAAAATACTCACACGACCAATTCGATTTAAAAGGACTGTGGAACAGCATCTCAGATCCTATTGTATCATCTCTAATGAAACGATTGGTCTTCGACAGTGCCAGAAAAAAACTGGTACGATCAAGAATATCGAGCTTCATTTGAAGGAAGACAGCCTACATACCTCGTGGAGCTATGTGGACTGGGATGGATACCGAGAGCTGAAGAAGGAAGCAATGCGTATTTATATATTTAATTAGCGCTTTGTAACCACAGAAGCAATCTTCCGCCGAGCTCCTCCTCCAATTTTTCGTTTTGTGTCTTGATATTTACCAACAAATGGAGGGACCTACAGTTTAAACTAAGCCGTCTCCGAATGGCTGATGTCCTTTTATGAGGAGCCTTTGATTTTCATGTCAGAAATACACTCGGAGGGGTTGACATTCCCTGTCGAGAGGCGAGCGCAATTATAAAATTTAATTTAATTTTTTATTTAATTTAATTTTCTATTACTTTTGGAAGTTGGTCGCACGGGGATTTGAGCCCGAGCCTTCCGAATGGCAATACCCAACGCTAACCGCTCCGTTACCTCGGCCACAGCAATTAGACACAAAAAAACCAAAAAACATAAACCGAGATGTGTGAGTATGACGAGCTTGAGAAACTGTTCGACTCACAGAACATTGGAAGTTAGAACCAGAGTTCGGCTGAAGCCCGGAGTATACTGATTTTATGGGGAGAACACTTCTCCAGCCTACTCAGTATCACATATAAGATGGAAAGTGAAAGACTAAAGCCCACAGTCAACAAACTAATTGGACTTTATCAATGTGGAGCGTGGAAAGAGTATCATCTCACACTAGCTGCTTCCACGCCGCTATATCTGAAACACTTATACGTCTATAAACTGATGTTAAGAGTTTCGAAAGCTCCAACAGGATCGGAAAAGGCATCTTCAAGCCGTCCGATACCAAACCAGATTTCAACTATTCAACTATTGCTTGAGAAATAATATGAGTTGAAGAGATGAATAGACAATCTTATGCTGGCTTAAGTCATTGATATTGATATCATAGGTCTTAACAACCGCGTCGTGGGATATGCTCTCTTCAGACTTGATAACGAAGCGAAGCATATGGGCGTGGTAGTAAATGAGGTTAAGATGAAATATCTTTTGTCCTCAGTTGTCAAACTCACAACTCGGTTCTCACTTCACTATTGACAATCATAAATTTAAAGTCGTACATAACTTCGACTAGCTTGGAACCAGTATTAAAATCAACAATAATTTCAGCTTAGAAATCCAACCCAGAATAACTCTTTTCTGAACAGGTGCTAATTTGTCCTGGGTGGCAATTGAATAGTAGAATCCGCTCTCGACGAACAAAGACCAAACTCTACAACTCGCTCATCGTTCCCGTTCTGCTATATGGTGCAGAAGCGTGGACTTTGACAACAACTGATGAGTCGGTGTTAGGAGTTTTCGAGAGAAAGGTTTTGCTTAAGGTGTATGGTACACTATGAGTTGTGAACGGCGAATACCGCAGCCGATGGAATGATGACCTGTATGAACTTTGAAAGTTCTCTATGTTTCGCCCTCCAGTGCAGGCTAAGGAAAGGAAAGAGATCCACCCCATTGGAAAGATCAGGTGGCGGAGTACCTGACAACACTTGTAATTTCGAATTGGCACCAAATAATAAAAATGAGAAAAGAATAACACCCCGTTGTTAACTCGGCTATAATCGCGTAAGTGGTGCCTACGCCAAAAAAAAAAGCAGAAAGAAAAAATAAAAAATTAATTTAAATATGAATCGTTTCTCTCCACGAATCAAAAATGTTTCAGCTCATAAAAATTACCTAATATATCTATAGTATGTATACACCAGGGACGGTAAATAATGGGTATCGCATTTTATTCAATTAAAAGTCATACACTTCGAAAAGTCACATAAACATAGTAATTTCCACAGAAGCTTATCACTTACGTACTTTATTTCGATCTGAAGTGAATTCTTATTTTATGATTTTTATAATTTTACCTCGTTATTAATATTTAGTTTTCCTGTTTTATTATAACACACAAGAAATAATTATTAGCAGAGATGCTCAACTAACTAAATAATGCCATATCGTTTTTTTTTTTAATTTGAAAAATAATCTCACCAAAACCATTTCGTTTCGTTCGGGCACCATGTAATCGAAACGAAATGGCATTGTTACTGTTGAACCATACAAACTCATCGTTAACGTTAAATTGAAAATGGCTGCCAGTTATGATTTAACAGCACACTTTTTTTACGTTTAACATTATCTGTTAATGATTTAACATTAACGGGAGCTTTTCGTTTCGGTTAAAAACGAAGTAGAATTTACTTTGATAACTAAAGTTATCGTTAAATATTTCCAAAAGCTTCATCCGAAACGATTCAAATTTTTTGATTAACGGGAATTTTCATTATTATTATTCTTAGTAAAAAACACGCAGAACGTAATCATTAACTTTGTCGTTATTTTTTCACTTAAATATTTTCCTGTATTTACAATAAAAACATATATGAGAAATGAATTTAAAGCGTATTAAAATAATAATTATGATATTTTCAATTTCCAATGCCAATTCGACAATATTTTGATCCAAGAGATATCATTGGTATCTCGTAGGAACTCTCCAACGCAAACCATTCTTGATTGCTATTTACAAAGTGCAACAACAACATGTGTACGCAAAAAAAAAATATATAATAATTTTCACATTACGTTTTTTTATGCAATCAAAGTGTATGTTCGCTAGAGGACACCCGCATTTATTATATACTCGTATGGTTATAACATAGATGTGCGCATACGGTACTTTATATTCGCAGCTAAGATTTTTCTAATTTATTCGTGCGTTTCTTTTCTATTTTCTACTTTTTTTTTTGGTACACGCTTATTAGAGGTTTATTTTCTGCACGCATGAATGATAAAAATGATTCATATGTCTACTTACCGAATTTATGGTAGCCATCGTTGTGAATGGTGTTGGTGGTAGCGATGGTTATTATTTTGTTGGTGGTATTTGTGGTTGTAATGGTATTGGTGGTTTTGGTGGTATTGGTTGTGGTTGTGGTGATGGTGGAGAAGGAACAAAATCAAAAATCTGCAAAAAAATAAAAGAATTCATAAACAGAAAGAAAAAATTCATTGATGAGTCAAAATGGTTATGGTAAACATAATAATTAACTACACATATGCAAACATTGCTAGGTATATATATGTACATATATTGGCACATAAATATACTTGATGCATGTGTACGCTTAAATTATTTACAATAATTATGAATGTTTATAAAAAGCTTAAAATGAATGCGTCAAATATAAATGTCTGTATATAAGCTACGAAATAAGTCAATAAATTTTAAGAGCTAAAAATGAAACAACATCCAAAAATTGTTTATGCTCACAGTGATTTTTTTAAATAAATACAGATATACGTGTATAAATCTTCTTTCGCTTAGTAATGAATTTACTTTAATAGCAATCCAATTTATGCATAAGAGATAAAAGATATAGCACCATTTACATAAATAATTTCATTTGAATTTATTTTTAACGCTATTTTATTTCACTTTATTTCATTTTATTTTATTTTTCTTAATTTTTTTTTAGTTTAAATAATTTTATTTAACTTTATTTAACTTAATTTCTTTCTTTTTTTATCAATTGTTCAGTTTTATATATTTTTTTATTTTTTTTTTTTTATTTATTTCGTTCTTTATAATTTTATTCGAATTCCTTTTAATTCAAATTAATTTGTTTAATTTAATTCTATTTTATTTTAAATTATTTAATTTTTATATTTAATTTTTTAATTTTTTTATTTCATTTTAATTTATTTTGTTTTATTTATTTTAGTTTATTTTTCTTTATTTTGTTTAATTTTATTTTATATTATTTTTTTTATTTTACCTTATTTAATTTTAATTAATTTTTCTTAATTCTATTTTATTTGTAATTACTTAATTTTTTTAATTTATTCTATTTTATTTTATCTTATATTATTTTATTTTATGTTATTTGTTTTACTTAATTTTATTTAATTTGATTTTATCTTCAGTTTTTTTTTTATTTTATTTTATATTATTTTATTTTTTTATTTGGTTTTATTTTTTTATTAATTATTTTATTAATTATTTCTTTTAACTATTTATTTAATTTAATTTAGCTGACTTTATTTTATTTTGTTTTATTCAACGTTATTTTATCTTATTTTACTTTATTTTATCTATATTAATCAATTTATTTTATTTCATTTTAGTTTTTTATCGACTTTACTTTGTTTAATTTTATTTTGCTTTATTTAAGCTTATAATATTTTATTTTAGATTATATATTTAATTTTTTATTGTTCTGAACTCTTTAATTAATTTTAGTTATTCGATTTATTTAATTTTCTTTCATATTAATTTATTTAATTCAATTCTATTTTATTTTCAATTATTTAATTTTTATATATTATTTTTTTTTTTTATTTAAATTTATTCTGTTTTATTGTACTTAAGTTTATGTTACTGTACTTTATTTTATTCAATTTTATTTAAATTTGTTTTATTTTATTTTAATATAAATACTTTATTTAATTTAATTTAATCTTACTTTATTTTCAATTATTTATTTTTTTAAATATATTTATTTTAGTTTATTGTGTCTTATATTATTTTATTTTATTTTATTTTAATTTATTTTTTATTTCTTTACCTATTTATTTTATTTAATTGATATTTATATTTTGCCTTATTTTATTTTAATTAATTTTATTTTGTATTTATATTTTTAATTTTTTGTCTTATTTTATTTTATTTCATTTAATTTTACTTAATTTATAAATTCATTTTTACTTTTTTGCTTTATTTTATTTCAAATTGTTTTCTTTTTTTTTTATTTTGGTTTAAACTATTTAATTTTCTATTAATTTTACTTTATTTAATTTTACTCAGGTATGTTTTGTTTTATATTTTTTAACCTTATTTCATTTTATTTAATTTTATTTCATTTTTTACTAATTTATTTACTTAATTTAATTTTATTTTGTTTGTTAAATTTTTATTTGATTATTTGATTTTACTCTATTTTAATTTATTTTATATCATTCTTATAAATGTGAAATAAATTTATATTTTTAATTGGTTTTCCTGTATTTCATTGCATTGTATTTTTTTATTATATTTTATCTTATATTATGTTATATTATGTTATTTTATTTTATTTTATTTTATTTTATTTTATTTTATTTTATTTTATTTTATTTTATTTTATTTTATTTTATTTTATTTTATTTTATCTTTCGTTATTTAATCTTATATAATTTTATTTTATTTAATTTTTTTATTTTGCTTTATTTTACTTTTTTATTTTATTTTCTTTTTTTCATTCTTTTTTATGGTATTTTATTTCATTTGGATTAATTTTTTGGGTTTTTATTTTATTTTATTACTTTTTATTTTTTTTTAATTTTTTTTCTTTAACTTTTTCTATTTTACATCTTGTGATTTGGTTCTATATTAATATTTTTTTTTATTTGTTTTATATAATTATATATTGCTTATATTTTATTTCATATTAATTGATTTTATATTTGTTTTATTTCAATTTATTTAATGCTATCTTATTTATTTTTATTTCATTCAATTTAATTTTACATTAATTTATTTTAAATTAGATTATTTTTTTTTATTTTATATTTTATATAATAACTGCTTATGTTTTTCTAATTTAATTTATTTGATTTTATTGTACTACTTTTTATTTTGTTTTGTTTTTATTTTTATTTATTTTATTTTTTTTAATTTATGTTATTTAATTTAATTTAATTGTATAAAATTGTATTTAATTTTTTGCTTTAATTTTATTCTTATATTACCTGCGTCAATAAAAAGATATTTATATGATTATGTTTATATATTTATACTAAACCAACATAACTGTTCATTGAACGTGTGTACCAACATCAAGTGGTTGTCGTTCGCAATTGATGCCGATTTAATTGGACGGGGATGCGGATCACGTCAACTTTAATACGACAAGCTGTTTATGATTCTCTATATCGATGACGACTGCTCTTACATTGTTGAATCCAATAATCTCATGCATATTGGGTGTATGAGCCCACATAAAAATTAAATACCCAGCATAACCATTCTCTTAATAAAAGTCCTTGAAGGGCTTTTCATCATTTTCCTGACCAGTTGAGGCCCGCGATGCGCTTGTGGCACATAATGCGCTTATTTATATTATAGATTTTTTTAAATTTTGGATTTTTTATTCTAATTTTTATATATATAAATATAAGACAACAGCTCAAATCCCTGGCCTATTATTTTACAGGAGGCATTTAAAAAAGCAGAATGTGATTCCTGCAGGAAACATGAGACGCCCATTGGCTGTTGGGTATACATTTTTAAATTAATTATCACCAGACACTAATGGTTGCCAAAAAACGAAAATTCTATGACTTGCAGTATTATTAAATTTGATCTTGCACAGCAAAGAATTATACATTCTCTTCCCTGTATGTAGAAATGATGAATGATGTTGGTGATATTGAAAAATTTAAGAATGAATATGAAACTACTGATTATTACAAATGATGGCGTCGCCGTTTTTATGTCTTATTCAAATCAAAGGTGTTGACATTGAAGTTCGTTTTGCCAGCCGCCTATGTTCTTCTCCACTCTTACACTTTTGATATACAATACAATACACTTACAACATACAGATGTACATACATGTTCGCATAAGTATGTTTGTACATAAATAGTTTTTGCTTTCTAAGTGGCACCCACACAAAATATAAGACAAAACTCATAGCCACCTCTCCGGTGTTTTAAAATGATGTGTCTGTATGTACATACACATAAAATGTATGCGTGTTTATATGTTTGTACATAGAATAATATGAAGATGAATGTGAAGTGGCCGGTAAGTGAAAAGTCGGCATTTTCAACGAAATTCCTATGCAAATACGTAAGAGGATTTTCAAATGACGCCGTCCACAAAATGGCGTTGGCGGTTCGCTCATGATTTTGCGACCATGGTTTTGGTTAGCGGTGTGGTGGGGTCAACGTTTCGATGTGGTTAGTGGCGCAAAGTTTCGCATATGTAAAAATTTATAGTTTTTTTTTCCTTTATTTTAATTTTAGCATTTACTCTTTTATTATTATTATTAATTTTTTTTTGTTTGTATTATGATTGTTTTTGACAAACATGAAACGCTTCGAATATTTCAACGCTCCCTATGCGCCGTTACGGCTACTACTTGCCATGGCCACTGCTGTTGCGCTTAGTTCACTTCAATTTCTAGATTCGATTTATTTAAATTTCAAACTGTTTTATTTTTGATCAGCACTGTTGTTATTTTATAGTATTTTATTTTACATTTATTTTTATCATCTGCGCGTTTTGCATTGTGCTGCAGAAACAAGCCACCGTCGCATTTTGTCACGATATACATGTATTTATGTGTCTGTGCTGCCAAGACGAACATACATACATATATACATTTATAATTAATAGTCAGACTGTAATAAAAAAAATCTTGGCCATAAAATTACGCTTGTCAACTTAAGCTTTCTGCAGACATTTGTCACCTTTCCACGCGTATCCTTATATGCATATCTACTAATTTTTAAAAGAAAAAACGATAAATATTTTTGCATACACAGCCTTGTAACCGCTGAAGCGGTTTTGGGCCGAACTCCACCTTCAATTTTTGGGTTTGTGCCTTGATGTTTTTCCAACAAATGGAGGGACCTACAGTTTATACTAAGCCGCTTCCGAATGGCTGATGGTGTTTTACGAGGAAGGGTGGACATTGCCTGCCGAGAGCGACAGCAATTAGTATAATTAATTTTCTCTAATTTTCGAAAAAGGTGTGCGTTTGGGGATTGAGAATTTTGATGCCAACTTTTTCATTCCGACAATAAACAACCCAAAGTTACTGGGAGTCACATTCGGGGGCGGACCACCGCATATGCCTGGAATCGCCACAAAAGTATAGAGCTGCAATGAAAAACTCAAATCGTTAGCCGGCAGTACTTGGGGCTAAGACGAAGAAAGTGAATTAGCCAGCTGACCGTACAACATGCAGAACACCATGCTT